AGAGGTGGTGGATCCACACCCACGGACACAACCAGTGTTCGTTCTCAGGGTGTGAACGACTCTAGGAGTAGATGGGATGACAAAAAAGCAGTAACCATTGTATCAGTTGCCAAGATGCTCGTCCAGCGCTGAACACCCTGGCCCAGTTCTTTCTATTTTTCGACCCCTGAACATGTGACGTTGGCTCAGCTGCCAAAGGGGATGGTTCGGTCGTCGGCTCAGCACAGTGAATGGATCCCAAATAGGCTGCCCAAACAAATGGATTAGTCACGTTCTTTGAGGATGAAGAGGCTCACGGCATCGCTATTAGGTTGGAGGCCATGGCTATTAGGTTGGAGGCCATGGCTATTAGGGTGGCCATTGCTACTAGGTTGGAGGCCTTGGCTATTAGGTTGGAGGCCATGGCTATTAGGTTGGAGGCCATGGCTATTAGGGTGGCCATTGCTACTAGGTTGGAGGCCTTGGCTATTAGGTTGGAGGCCATCGCTACTAGAGTGGAGGCCATTGCTATTAGGTTCCTTTTGCTGCAAATCCCTGCGTTTGGTTTCCGCATGGTTTTCGCCATCCAATGACCGACCTGGCGCTCCACCTGCGAGGGCGCTTGGGCCTCCCCGCTCGGTCGAGCACGATCGCTAGGCCAATCGCCGCTTGGCAGCCGAACGAAAGAAGAAACAAGAGGCGCGCCCACCTCGGAGAGGCTTCGTGGGGAGTCAGTGGGGAGTCAGTGGGGAGCAGTGGAATTCCATATCTTTAATCTTGTGATCAGCCTACTTCATCTAAATAGGGTCTATCTGGATAATGGGATGCTTGAGTTTTTCGCTTTTGCTTGGCACATGTAGGATTTTATGTTATGTTTGCTCTCTCTCTCTCTCTCAAGACTTCAATGAAGCAAGTGAAATAAAACTGAAACAACACACAGAAACACCACATTTCTTCGAAGCACTGCGTGTGCTTGGCCGCCCTAGGAGGAGGCTGCGAAGCTGGAAGCCAAAAAGGCCGCCGAGGAGGAGCGGCGCAGCAGCTCGGATCTGGCGCGTCGTATAGCGGGGGAGCGATGGGTTTCACCTAGGTTTGGGGTGGAGCACGGTATAGAATTGTATACTTTGGGTCTGTCCGTTCTTGCCTGTAACAGTCAGTACACAATCATCACGATTTTTGAACTGTCGGCCTGCAACTGAACCATCATCATCCGCTGGGCCCAGGTAGGAACGGATAGACCCGATATACGATACTTCAGGAGACAGAAAGTAGGTCTTCTTTTCGTCACCTCCGGGTCCACCAAGCTGATGACGGGTGCTGATGACAGCCTGTTGGAGAGTCCTTGGAAGGGTGTTGGAAGCGATGGGGCCGCCCGAGCGACTTGATCAAGGGGTTGATCAATGTGGATTCCCTCCAACTCAATGCGTTTTCCCTCAGACCAGCCCAGCGACTGAGGAAAGGCAGAGGAAGAGGCACGTGAGCAGGCGCGTGAGCAGGCGCGTGAGCAGGCGCGTGTGGAGGCGAGGCAGAAGGAAGCCCAGGAAGCAGAGGCCAAGAAGCGGGAGGCGGAGAGGATTGAAGTGGAACAGCGAAAAGCTCAGGATCGCAGGGACGCGGGGAACAAGGAGGATTTTGGGTTGTTTTTTGCGTGGGTTTGGGAGATGAATGGACATACCCAGGCACTCCATGTATGCCATATATGCCTACATTGACCACCACCCCAACTGATCGGCATATATGCAAGTCCCATGGAGTGTCTGGAATACATCAGTGAGTTAACCGAGCACTTTGCTTCACCTTGTGCTCGGTGCAATCCTTTTTGCATCCCTTGCCACAGGGACAGTGATGTTTTTGCGGATAGGCTACGGCGCCACAGGGACAGGATCTGGCCGTAATCCTTTCCCAAGAATTGATCAATATAGACCCTAGACTTCCAAGACCATTAAAACAATGGTTGACCTGGTTTCTGTAGTGTAAAATCCTTAGTTGATTCGGTAAAGCCTATTAAATTACAGTAATGGTTGTTGGTTCGGCAAGGCCTATCAATTTGATGGTGGTTGGAAGTCTAGGGTAGACTCTTAGAGTCAATAAGAGCCCCATATGTGGATGCACGAACTTGCGGTCCGTCATCGGACTCGCGGAAGGAGCCCCACTCTTTCCCTTCTCAGTGTCTGAGGGGTGAAGGTGGGTGTGAACCAGTGACACGTAGCTCGGGACATGGAGTATCTACAGGGAACCCAACGAACAGCCGAACAGCGCGATGCACGACGAAGGCTCAGGGTGTCACCGCTCATTTCTGCGCCGCTCTGCAGCGAAGGTGTCACCAGGAAATTGCGCAAATTTCTCGTGGCTCGTCTGTGAGAACGTGCCCGGACCAAGGGCCTAAATCCCACCTACCTAAGAAAGGTGGTAGTAAGGACAAAGGCATCAGGTCAGCGACCTCAACCGTATCGAAGCTCGCACCTTTCCTAAACAGTGCATCACGTACGTGCTGAATGACTTTAATCTCGCACCTTTTCTTTCATTTCAGGCCACTCTGGCCATGCAATAGGTGGGAGGCGATCAGAAATTGGGAGTGGCGGAATTTCATTATGAAATGGAGGGTCACGTGGTATGGTGAGAATCAGGTTACGCAAACAGCTATAGGTGTCCTTAGGATTCGGCAAGACAGGACGCCTGGAGACACCTGATTCGTGATAGGCAGTAAAGCCCACTCGCGTCAGGCTAGATGATCCCTTTTTCGTTTATGGTGGCAATGTTTTGGATCTCGAAAACCAAGAGAGGTAGCCAGTGACCTTATAGGACCGTAACCTGGGGTACCTGTGGGATAGGCTAGTTCGGGTCCTTCAACCTCTGTTGGAATGTTTGAATATGCTTGATCATGAGGCGAGGCGAGTCATGTTTCAGACAACACACGATCCTCGTGCGTTGGGACTGGCGGTTGGGACTCCAGGGTCAGAAAATTCAAGTAAAAGGCATGAGTCCTTGTCTTTAATTGGCAGGTAGCGACCTGACCAGAGCATAAAAGAAACGGCCAGTTCTGTCCATGTCTCATGCCTGGATCTTTCATGGTGGAAACATGGCCAACTGCTGGCCAGATGAGTCTTTTACAATATTCCCATACAAGTCTGGCATAATTGGAACCCCATGTGCACCAGAAGACAACCTGGTGTGGCTCGTCTGGTAGGGAAGATCACCTTGAAAGTCCACTGAGATAACAAGTGTATTTGATGATTAAGTTTGGTGATCCCTCGGGAAGCTGACTTGGGTCCTCTCCACCTCCGGATGGCTGGGTTGCGCTTTCTGCTTTCTGCATCCGTGGATGAGCAAGGTCAAGAAGATAGGCATAGACAACTTGGATCATTTCTCGTTGGTGTGTCTAGTGTGCATGAACCGACCTACACATCACACACACACACACACCTTTGCCAGCAGCTGTTTCTGCAGAATTTTCCCTGGTATGTCGGACAACTCTTTCTGCGTGGTTGCAGCTTCGAGACATAGGTGAGACTTGATTTAATGCATGGAAGCGGCTTGTGTCCCAAACTTGGACCCTCTGATGTGGGGATGTATGGATCTGTCCAGTTGCAATTGCATCAAGTATGTTAAGTACAAGTTGGGAGTCAGTACAAAAGCTGTGGCATCGTCATCAGCCTTGTAGGATTCTTCGGCAGCAACTAAAGTAGCGTACAGTTCGGCGCGGCTGATTGTCAGTGGATGTTTACATTGGACCACAGCCCATGCAGCCCGGGCCGTGAAGGGGCACCGGGGGTTATCACATGATCTGTTTGTATACAGTGTTGTGCCGGGCTCAATGGTATACACTGTTGTGTGGCGAGAATGCATTGCTTGGCGGACAAGCTCAACTTGGTCCGAATGAAACGGGAGGGGAAACCAGCAAAGGTGAGGAAAAGCTTGCAGTGCTGCTGTCTTGATTCTTGGAACTTTGGGCACTCTAAGACCTGGTGTTTAGTGGTGTCATATTTTTCACACCACGGGCAGTCAGGGTCATGTTGGGAGTTCCATAAGGCAATGACCCCGTTGGATTGCCAACCTGCAGACATGGGCAAGGCAAGTATCCTCCTCTGACGATCTGAAAGTTTTTGCAAAATTCTGTACGTGGTCAAAGAGTCGAATTGCATTTCTCGGGTTCCTTTGCGATGCAAAATGGCTTAGGGGCAGTACCAATCCCAGGCGAGGCGTGCTTGGGATTTAATCTGTTTACCCGAGGCGTGTCGCAAACTGACACGTAACACCCCGGGTCCTAACAAGGTGGCGTTGGCGGTGATTTCCCAACCTATTTTGTGCAGGTAGTGCGCAATGGCCGATGCGGGACCTTTGACTGTCCCATTGAAGGCTCGAATGTAATGAAGCGAGGGTTGGATGGTATGTGAACAATCGTCGCTCACGATATATAGGAGAGGGTCTTGAACCCGGCGTGACAAGTAGTGCAAAGCAACGTGACTGGAGGCCTGCTTATGATCACCTACTAACACGTTGGTGGCAGCCCTTCTTAAGGCCGAAAAATGCTTATCGCCTATGGCAACCACCAGGGTTCCGTAGAAGGTCGCTGGCCAGATTGCTACCTGAATCTTCTCGGCTCGTTCATCAAGGCTAAGATTAAGTCTCCGAAGTCTATTGCATGGGGCAATGGCATTATCGATCTTGTCTCGTAGGGGACCTAGAGTGGTCTGGTTGGTGTACGAAATCATGCGTCCGAGGTCTTGGACATGGTTCTTTATCTGGAATCTAAAACGGGGTTGCTGGAGGAGCTGCGAGGCATAAAACAGCTTCACACCACTCGCGCAAACTTGAAGGTCAGGCCTAGGTAGTGTACTTTGCTGGCTGCATTCCACAGCACAGCATGAGGATGGTAAAACCTCTTCACATGGAGGTTTTTATTTGACCAAGAGTCTACATGACCAGTTGGATGTACAATGGCCCTCCCGGCATCGCAGGAGGCCGTGCGTGAAGTCGAGAGGTCGTTGGAACCGCCGGCAAGTGGCCAACTGAAGGAGGAGATGAAGAAGGCGAGGATCACATCGGCCGGTGAGGTCGAGTGGGCCGTCAGACCTCAGAATTTTGGCCGTTTGGCCGACGAAATATCAAAGGGGCTCGGACCTCTAAAGACTTCTTTTTGGAAAAGACAACACAGAGAGGTGTGGCTGTCAGGTGGCAGGACATGTAGTCCAGAATGGCTTTACATCTTCAGAGGATTTTTCCCCAAACAGTTTACTGTTAGGGGTTCTCAATTCTTTCTTAAGATGTGTCCGCCCTTTGTGTCACTGCTGGTGTAGCATTTCTATTCATTTGTCTCCCGGGTCTGTCACTGCTGGTGTCCGCCCTTTTCCGCTGGCCATGTAGCAT